CGGCTGTAACGGGAGCCCGGCAGCCCGGGCCCGGCCGCCGCGGCGGCGCCTGCTCTCCTCCTGGCAGCCATTTACATACTTTGAACATTTCAAAGTAGGAAAGCCTAGCGGGGCCGGTTCCTCCCGGGGGCTCGGCTGGCTGCTGGGTCTTCGGGGGGGGGGGGCTCGGCCCCTGCCCCAGAACCGGCGGCTGTCGCTGCTGTTGCACACCAGAGCCCCTTTTACCTTTTGGGGGGACACCCACCCTACACCCCCTCCCCAACGCTTGATATCTGAGGCGCTGGCAGGTACAGCTTTGAGCTGAGCCCACCTAAAGCGATTGGAATCAGATGTGCCGTATCCGAAGGGGATCGGGAGCCGGGATTTTATTCCCGCCCCCCCCCCCCCTTTTTCCCTCACTGGTACATCTGGGCGAGCTCAGCAGCTTGTGTATTTTGGCAGTGGAGCCTGTCTAGTAACAGAAGACAAACTGTGTTTGGCTTGTTTTGTCTGTCTGATGGCTTCGCCGTGCCGCCGCGTTTCGTTCGTGGGCTTTAACAGCAGGGCAGGAGGGAGGCAGGGATTAAATGGCAGTTTTGGGGAAAGACGGACAGGGATGATTATGGTCAGGGAGACCCTGGGCAGCATCTCTGGGCATGGACAGGGTTACGGCTTGAGGTGGCCTCTCCAGAGAAATTCCAAGTGCCGCCTGCGATGATGGCGTGTCGATGTCACTGATGCCGATTTCCTTCTGTTTCGCAGTCAGCAGGAGGGAGAAAATGAAAGCAGGCTGCAGCATTGTGGATAAGCCAGAAGGAGGAGGAGGTAAGGAAGTCTAAAGGCTGAGTTGTTCAGCTGTTACGAATTCTTTTCCCAGGATAAAGGAGCTCAGGCGGGATTAATTCCACCTCTCCCAAAAGCTTTCGTATGTGGGCAAAAGCTGCGTGTGAGTGTGGATCGATCAGACGTCTGCATGATGGGCTGTCAGCGAATTTTTAAGAGCGCCAGGTTTAACATGCAAATAAATCTTCCCGGAGATGTTTTATTTGTAAGGATTTGGGATCTCTAAGGTGGATCCCCTCTGGTCTGGTACAGCTTGTGCCTGGTTTTGTCTCCTATCACAGCCTGCAATAGTGGTGTGGGTGGCATTGGAGCATGATGCGACTTCTTCCACGCTGTCGGAGCCTGAAATTGTGGCCATGATGATTTGGGGGGAAAAAAAAACCAACAAAAAAAAACACAACAGAAAAAAAAAAACCCCTCGCGTTAGTACTTGTGCTGGGAAACTATTCTGAGAAAGCTGAACTTGGCAGTCACTCAGAAACATCTGCCGGCGCAGTTGAAGCTGGAGCGGGCTGCCGTGCTCTGAAATCAGGGGGAGCTGGAGTCACTGAGAGCTATCCGCCCTCACCCCCTCCTCGACATCAGCACACCAAATGCTCAAATCCGGATTATTTGCCTTATTTCAGCCACCTGGAGTCCAAACTGTAGCGATGTCTAAAGCTTTTGGTCTCCTTTCCACTGCTGCTCGTACTTATGTCCCTTTCAGTCTTACCATTTTTTTGGTGCTGTTTGGGCATTCTCCAAGGCAAGGGGGCTAAAAGGAGGATGAAAATGAGCAGCTAGAGTAGGAGAGCTGGGTTTCTCTTCTTCCACATTGAATATTTAATAGAATTACAGCCCCCAGCAATGCTCTGTGGTCTCGTTCTGGAGAAAACATGATAAATACACAGTAGAGCTTGGCAGTGGTGAGCTCCTGTTGCTGTCTGAATGACTTTTTCTTTTCTTTTTTTTTTTGTGTTTTGTTTTTTTTTTGTGGCCCTTCCCAAGGTTATCATTTCCCAGAGTGGGCTTACAAGACTGAGTCCAGCCCCGGCTCCCGGCAAATCCAGTTATGGCATTTCATCCTGGAGCTGCTGCAGAAGGAGGAGTTTCGCCATGTCATCGCCTGGCAGCAAGGCGAGTACGGAGAGTTTGTCATCAAGGACCCTGATGAAGTGGCCAGGCTGTGGGGCAGAAGAAAATGCAAACCCCAGATGAACTACGACAAGCTGAGCCGGGCTCTCAGGTGAGCAGGAGTTTCCTTGGAGGTCAGGGGCTTCTAACGAGCTCTCCCTTCATCCCTTCCTGCCTCATTTGGGTGACTGTAGGTATTCAGTCCCTGGTTTGGTGGCACCCAGACTTCTGGGAGGTTTGTATGAAATTTTGAGTTCTGGGGTGCCAGATTGCTTTGGTAGGTCTGACTGTACTTGGGTGTGATTGGCAGGGAGTCCCTGATTCACCGTGCCATGTTCTATGTCACAGTGTAAATTTGCACCTTTAGTTCAGGTTGTTATTATCAGGATGGCTTCCTTCCGGGGAGCTTTTCTGTCTCTTTTCTCAGCTTCCATAGCCGCTGCTGGCTTGAGCAATGAAGGTGTGGGAGGAAACCAGAGGTGTTACTCTATTATCACACCGTCAAGGGTACCGTTTCAGAGAAAGCAACTCCACTTTGAACATAATTTGTACTCTCCTCTTTACTGCTAAATCTGCGTGAGGCAGAGCTTCAGTGCCAGTCCCAAGGCGAGGGCCTGGACTGGGTGTTTCCCGAGCCCTGATGACATGAATTTGGGTGTCCTTAAGGACACCCTTTGGCCACCAGTGATCCCTTGCGTGAGACAGGGGCTGAGCATTCCTCACTTTGCACTTTGTAACTCCAAAGCCTCCAGTACAACTTTGCCCTCTATTTTGACCTTTCCGTAGGTGTTGGTTGTTTTTTTTTTCTGGTTATCGCTGTGCATTTTGAAGTCAGTGGAAAACTAGCATGACCCTCTGAAGTATTTCAGCATTTCAAGCCTGTCACCTGCAGGAGTGGCTGGGTTCCTAACAGGTTCTGGCATTATCAGTCTGTAACGTGGACTTCGTTGCCTTACGCCCTCTGATACCTCCTGGGTGGAGCTGACAAAGACAAACAAGGCAGCAAACACAAGAGTCTCGTACTGGAACAGGAAGGAAACAATAAATTGAATGGCACTGAGGCTGTAATTGGTGGATGGGAGTGGAAAATAGCCTCCACCTGCCAATACTGATCATGTCTTGTCATCTTGATGCTGAGTGTGACAGCAGAAGGGCAACAGCACTGCAGGTATCAGCAGCCGCTTTGGCTTGGGACCTGTGGCTCCTTCCCCCCATCCTGCTTGGAGCTGGCCCTGCTTTATTTGGTGCACACTGTGGTAACAGGCAGTGTGTGTTAATCCACCTCTACGTACAGAGAACGGTGGCGATGATCCGCATGTAACACCTTTGTTTGTACACCAGTCTTAGGAGGCTGAGGACAAACAGTGGTGGTGTAAGTGGGGAGGAGGCTGCGGTGGGGATTATACCTGCTGTCTCTGTGGCCAAGTTCTTCTGCCTTCATTTGGTGCTGGGAAGTTGAGGAAGGGAGGCTGGCCAGCGGTCAGGGCTGGCTCCAAACGCCTGCCCTCCGCAGCCCTGATCAATGCTGCCTGCAAAGGTGAGGGAGTGTTTCTAGTCTGAAGCTGCGAATGGGTGAACAGAAGGGAAGCAACTTGCTCACTGGCATGAGAGCAGCAGAAACCAGCTCTCCCGATTTCCAGCCTGATGCCTTGTACGCTGTTACAAATACCCAAGGCTTTGAAAGTTGCAGAAATAAAAAACAAATCTGAGGCTATCTTGGTAATTTGGTCCCTTTTGCTCAGCTCCGTCATTGCACTGAGTTTTGTTCTGCCCCAGCCCAGGTACACATTCCCCTCTTTCAGGTTCAGTGTCTTAGCACAGGTTCACCTGAATTTTCCCCTCCTGTTCTGGGTCCTGTAACATTCCCCCAGCAGTCACAGCCCACATGGAGTGACCATGCATGTTTCACTGGCTGCAGGGCACTTGGCATAGATGGGATTAGGGAGGTAATGCCAGTGCCGTGTGGGATGCTTGTACGAGACCCCTCCAGCCCATGGCACTGGTCCCAGTTTGGACAGGGGTGAGAACAGCATGTACAGGCTTGGCCTGTTGTTCAGCTTTTGCTTCCTTTCAGGATCTCACCTTTTCCCACATGTTCTAAGGAACATAATGGCCTGTAAAATGGTTTGAAACCTACTGCTAAAGAATGTGTTGTAAAAGGAGTGGGTGTCATTTGGAAACTTCCCGATTGACTAATATTTTCTTGTATTAATAACATAAATTCTCTGGGCAACTTTGTTTTTGTAGATACGTCGTAGGTGGATGTTGATGGCGCTAAAAGAAACAAGAGCTTTAAACAGATCGCCACATGTTTTGATTGATCTCTTTCACTTTCATTAACAGATACTATTACAACAAGAGGATTCTCCACAAGACAAAAGGCAAAAGGTTTACCTACAAGTTCAACTTCAACAAGCTGGTGATGCCTAACTACCCATTCATTAACATTCGGCCTAATGGTGAGTGCAGGTTCGGGACTTCTTTTAACTGTCCCTGCTCCTGGCATGTGGAACAGGGCTGGGACCAACCCCGCAGCCTCTGCAGATCCCCTATCAGTCATCTCCTACACTTGAAAGACTGCTGGGGCAATCAGTGCTGCTGTGGTGGGAATGTCTGGACGTTGATAAAGCCTTATCTGGAGTGCTCTTTCCCTCGGGTTTGTCACAGACGCATCTGTGGTTGTCTTCAGGGGAGACTGGAGACATCTTGGTTTCCTACTGGAGCTTGCTTGTTGGACTGTCTTTATGGGTGCCGCAGGTTTGCTTTGCTTTGCTGTTGGGCGGCGGGTGTCCTTGGGATAAGAGGGTTTTAGTTCTGTTGCAGGGACCTTGCCTCACTCACATGCTTGTAACGTAATTTTATGGTGCCATATAAATGTGACCCTTCTTGACAAGGAGCTTAGAGGTGCATGGCAAGGCATGCATGTGAGCACTATCAGAAAGTTCACAGCTTAACAGCAGTTTGCTCTCCTCCCCGCTTCTGCAAAGGCCCCTTGTTTGCTTCAGTTGTGGTCCTTTTAAATCAAAAGGAACTTTTCTTGACCAACTTCTGTCTAGAGTTCAGAGGAACGTGATAGCAAGCACAGAGCAGTTTCCAGAGAAGAGTAGTAACTCGTCTGAGTTTGACTAAAATCACAGGTATTTCTCGATTCTCCCTGCGGCAGAATGGCGTGCTGACGTTCAGGATAACGAAAAAGAGTTTGAGAATGGAGCATAATTGTTCCCTTCTCGTTCTAAAAGGCCTTTGAGTCTCTTGCCAGGAGCAGTAGCAGGAGTTCACTCTGGGTTTGTCCCAGAGTCAGCAGTACTGCTGTGGTTTCTCTGGAAGAGGGTCCTTTGTTCGCTAGATACTTTTTGGTGGAGTTAAGTCCCCCATAGCTAGATTTCTACAGCTGGGGCGATTGCCTCCATAACTGCACAGCCACCACGCAACCAGGGAAATTAGTGGCCATCGAGTCCATCAAAAAAAACCCCAGCCCTTCTGGAAGTCATTACAGCGAGGCCCGAGACTGCAAACTCTCCACAGCAAAGAAAGCGCGAACGCAGAGGCGCCTGAACCGGCCTTTCTCACAGGACTGTGCGCTTAGTTCTCACCTTGTGAAGAGTGCCCCAGGGGAAGCCTTGAAGATTCATCTAGCAGGGAGAGAGCAGGGGAAAGTGGGGATTGAATGTCGACTCTGAAACCCCGGCGGCTGAGAAAAACAGGTTACATGTGGGCAAGAGTATTTCTCATCAGTGCTCGTGTAGCCTGTGCCGACATACGGCGGTGACTGCTCGTTCATCTTGGCAGTTGAAGCGACCTGCATCCCTCCCCGCCCCAGGGGAGTCCCAGCTGGGCATGAGCACAAATGCGATTTCAAGGCATTGTCTTCTAAGCAAACAGTAACCCCAAAACAAGGCTGGGAGAATAGAAATATTCATAAAGGCGTTCTGCTTCACCTGTGTGGGACACGCTGCCTTTATGGCAGTGAGGAGAAGGAAGTGTATTCTCCAGGAGTCCTTAGCCAAAGCATGGGGGTGTAAGATGTAGTATGAAGCTGCGCTGCAAATCTATAATTACTTGCAGCAACGAGTCTGGGCAGTTCCAGCTCAATATTGCTCACTGCTGTTCCTTTTCCCTGTTTGCAGCCACTCCCTCCTATCTCTGGGGCATGCATTTAAAAAAAGAAGTTTGGAGAACTGGAATGCACTTGTCTAATTACAACCTGTTTTCTTTCCTTCTGGCTGGGGTGGGGGTTGGGATATCAAACCTGTTTGGGGCACTGGAATCAGGTTTCTTCTCTCAACTCTCGCTTGTGCAGTTTTGAAGGGAAGGGAGAATCAACGGGTGCGTTGTGGAGGTGAGAAAGCGGGTGGAAGAATTTGCCTCAATATGGCTCGGTATGGCACGAGTAAGTTGTAGACAGGCGGCTTCAAAGGAACGGCGGTGGAAGAGGAGCCAGCAAGAGCTGGCAGTGTTGCTGGCAGAAACATTGGAGAAAAGATGTCTTCCCAGAAAAGCACAAATCAGTGACTTTCAGTCAGCCCTGAGAGCTTGAGGTTTACCAGCAGCGCTTCTGCAGGCAGCATTCGAGCACGATTGCTTAACCTAACGCACCGTCGCCGAGACGTTTTCTGGTTAAACCAGAGCGGGGAGGTCAGGGGAGGGCGTCTGAAAGTGGAAATTATTTCGGTGGCACTGGAGGTTCATGAAACCTCAGCCAGGGTGGAGAGAGGAGAATATTCATCCCCAGCAGTGGCGAGGTTTTGAGGTGGGCAGAGGAGACTGGAGCTATGCAGGGGAAGGGAGCAGATGGGAGAGGCACCTCCCATCTAATCGCCTGCTGTGTTGTTGATAGCGCATGGTATTTTTGTGTTACTCTTCCAAACGCCTGCGGGTGCAGGCCAAAAAGCAGCTCTTTACCTGTGATTTAACTCCCTCAGCAGCTGCGCTCTTAACTCTCTCCCGTACTCTTTCTCTTTTCGCCTCCCTGTCCCAGGTGTTGTGCCACAGAGCGCTCCTCCTGTGCCAACGGCTTCATCCCGCTTCCATTTCCCACCACTGGACAGCCACTCTCCCACCGAAGATGCCCAGCCTGGTCGGTTCTCTGGTGGGTCCCTGGTCCCATCCAACCCAGAAGTGCTGGGTGACGGCGGCGAGAGGAAGCCGGACATGCCGGAGCTGGAGGACGGCTCCTCGGATTGGCGCCGTGGTGTGGATCTTATGGCCTCGCGCAATGCCATGGGCACTGGTAGCATCAACCACCAGAAGCGCAAGCCCGATATTATGCTCCCTCTCTTCACCAGGCCCGGGATCTACCCAGATCCTCACAGCCCCTTTGCCGTGTCCCCTCTGCCAGGGCGCGGCGGGGTCCTAAACGTCCCAATCTCTCCTGCGTTGTCCCTGACTCCCACCCTTTTCTCCTACAGTCCCTCTCCGGGCCTCAGCCCCTTCACAGGTAGCAGCTGCTTCTCTTTTAACCCCGAGGAAATGAAACACTACCTGCATTCACAAGCTTGCTCCGTCTTCAACTACCACCTGAGTCCGCGGACTTTCCCCCGCTATCCGCTCATGGTGCCACCACTACAGTGCCAAATGCCCCTTGAGGAGCAGCCCCAGTTCCCCATCAAGCTACAGCCTCCACCTGTGGGGCGCAAAAACAGAGAGAGACTGGAAAGTGCTGAGGAGCCGGCAGCCCCCCAGCTAGCTACTCCTCCTCCCAGGGTCAAGGTTGAGCCCGTGATGGACAAGGAGGCAGAGTCCGAAGAGCCACCGGCGAAAGGAAAAGACAAAAGTGAGAGAGAGGAAGGCTCCGGTGTGGCAGCCAGCCTGGAAGAGGAGAAAGGGCCTGTGTTTGTCAGACCGGCTGCCCCGTCGTGGCACCCAGCCCCACTGGCACCCACCCAAGCCGGCTTCTCAGCTGAAGAATCCCAGGAGCAAGGGGAGAGCAGCGCGGAGAAGTCATCCCGAGAGTCTGCCGGAGAATCGGGGGCTCAGGAGAAGAGAGAGGATGCCCTGATGCCTCCGAAGCTGCGTCTCAAGCGCCGCTGGAACGGTGACCGGCAGGCAGACATCCCCGAGGAGCGCCAGAATGGCCGAGTCCACTGGAACGGGGCACTGGGCAGCCCGCACCTCATGGCAGGTCCCAAGGCCGTGACGGCCACAGCTGCCTCCGACACCTAAGCCTGGGGGAGCTTTGCAGTCCGTCTGTGCTGAAAACATCTGTGTATTTATGTAGCAAGGTTGCAGAGCGTGGGGGGCGGGCGGGGGGCTGGGGCTAGCCTGGTTTGGTAATTCTAGAAACTAGGGGGTTTGTGTTCTTTGTTTTCATTGTTGAATTGCAGGTGAGACGCGGTTGTCTTGCTCCGATTAGGAGAGGCGAGGGAAGCCGGCCACCCTTGTGCGCGAGCTTCAGGCCTTGCACGAACTCCAGCGGGGTTGAGGCCTCCACCTGGACGGAGGAACTCCAGACACGGTCTATTTTATATACACTCTAGCATTTATAGAAGCAGGAATCTCCGAATTCATCTAGTTCCCTTTTTTTTTTTTTATATATGGAGCCTGGTGCGATGGTGGGAGAGGATTTCCTGCCCGCTTGAGACGTGCCGTGCATCAGCCTTGGAAGCTGTCTGTATTTTGCGGGGAGGGAGTGTTGGGGGACAGGCTGAGGGAATATTGCACTGTCTGTGGAGTGGAGAAGGTTGCAGAAAGACAACTCGGAAAGTCACTGGCGCGCCAGCAAGGTGGGACGCTGCTGGAGAGAGGGAGCCGCGTTCCCGGCGAGCGGATCTCAGTAGCGCTTCAGGATACGTTAGTCGTCCTTTTCGCCTTTCTGAAATACTGCAGAAGCCATGAGCAAAAGATTTAAAAAACAACAAAAAAAAACAAAAAAAAAACAAAAAAACAAAAAAATCTTTCAGGGAAGGGAGTGGGGTGGGAAAAAAAAATAACCTAATGCCTTTAATATACGCATTAAAATGTACCCTAGGTTTTTTTTTTTTTCCTAATTGTATGGGTGGAGTTGGGAGTGATTGGAAGATTAACACTGAAATGATTGTGGTGAGTTCATAGAGAAGGAATGACAGGAGCTTTGTTAAATCTTACTTCCTTTGTTTGGTTCCCCTATCACTTTGACTCATGCCTTAACTACGTGTACACTTTATGTGAGCAGGGTCTATTGACAGGAGCAGCCTGCGCCAGAGCCAGATGCGCTTGGCCGAGGTTGGGTTTCGTGGAGATTTTGAATTTTGCCTGATGATGGAGAAGTGATGGAGAGTGTGATGGTTGCAGGAGCGAAGGATGGTGGAGGGGCAGCTGTGCCTGCCGGGCTCTGTCTCCGCAGGCTGGGTCGAGGCGGGGTTCGCCATGTAAATCTCGCTGTATTTTTGCTATAAATCTGCTATTTCCCTACGCAGCTGCGTTTCTTGTTAGGCTGATTAACTTAGGCTCCAGATTACACTGAGGAACATGCTTGTCTCCCGCTGCGTCGGGACGAATCCCTAACGATTCCTTGAAAGGAGCTTGGAAACAACCCGTCTCCACGGGGATAAGAGCTGTATCCAGAGAGCGGCTGATTATTCACGCGGTCGTAGGCGAGAGGCGTGCGCGGGCAGATTTTTCCAGTCGAGGACTCGGTAACTGTTGGAGGAGGGCAGGGAGCATGTGTGAGCACAAGATTATTTGCAGACATTGTTAGATGGGGCTGGTTGGGCCCTGCCGAAAGAAGATTCCGTGCGTGGTACCCGGAGAGGTTCTGGGGAGGGGGGGATGCAGGAGCCGTAATCCACTTACCTGGGTGAGCTTGGCTCCGGACCCCTGGCACCTGGATTTACCTCCACGGCCAGTGCCGAGTGTGGAGGAAAGGGGGAAGGAACCCCTCAATCCGGTCCCGGAGAGGGGATCGAGTGAACTCAGGAATTAGAAACACGAGGCCTTTTCCATCAGTAATGCATATCGTCACCCTTCCTCACGCCCAAGTGCCGGAGCCCGTGGGTGCCTCTCCTGTTTGAGGAGGGGGCTGGCGGGGCAGGGAGCCACCCTTCTTGCCCTTAATTTAAGGCAAAAAAACCAACAAAAACAGAAAAGTTGAACTGTTGTTTGGCTTTAAAAGTTTGTAATTGGTTTTGGGGGGCTGGGGAGGGGAGGGAGGGGGTGTTGTCTTCATAGCCATTGCACTGCAAACCGGGAGCTCCGCGTTCAGGGATAAAGGACTCAGGTTCTCAGGACAACGGACCAGTGACCGGCTGCGGGTGATGGGCTCCGCTTTGGAAAGGAGTGGGGGTAAGGGGTGGGCAGGGGGCGGCCAGCCAGCCCCCCCTTCCCTGCTCCCTCCACATTGGCAGTGTCACCCATGTCCCTGCCGGCTCAGGGGGTCACCTCAGTGCAAGGCGGGGGCTCCTCCCGACCAGACTTCACATTGCCTAGCAGCAGCCTCGGAGGAGGGCGCTTATAAATACAATTTAAATAATAAATGAAAAAAAATATATATATTCCGATGTGCCAAAATATTTAAACTTGTAAAGTTTAAATGGTTGAAATCTCAATGTCCACCTGTATTAATTAATCAAGAGCATGTTAATGTTTAAACCATTTTTGCTTTGTTTAGTCATAGAGAATCTGTAGGAAAGAGACTTTAATCGGACAACCAGCAGTAAGCCAAGATTTTTTTGGGGAAAAAAAAAAAAAAAGATCAAGATGGGGCAGGGAGGATTAGCCACACATCTCCCTGCGGCGGTGAGCAAGCTAACGAGCTGCAGAGCCAAAATGAGCCCCGGGCTGGGGCCACCCATCCCCTCCTCAAAATGCCAGGGGGGAGGAGGAGGAGGAAGAGCCCCTCTCCAGAAGCATTAACCTTGGCAGCCGATCTCATTGCCCTCATCGCCTGTGGGAGGTTCCACCCGTTGCTTGGTTGTCCCTTGCTTTTATTTATTCCATAATTATGTTTTTGTTTTTAAAGTAACTTTTTGTTGTGGGGTTTTTTTTTTTCCTCTTTTTGTCTTATGGATCCTGGTGGGTTTAAAAAAAATGAATTTCTTCTTTTGGTTTGAAATAATCGTAATCAGATTGTTTAAAAAAAAGTTCAATTTTTTAGAGTGCTTTTAAGGAGAAAGTATTTACCAATAGAAAGTTGGTTTTTTGGTTGTTTTTTTTTTAAAGAAAAACAAATCACTTTTCCTGAGGCATGTTCTTTGACTTTACTAGAATTGATTCAGCAGGGATTAGTGTGGATGCATACACGTATGGCGGGGACGTGGTTAGCTTGAGCTGTCTGTCCACGGAGAGCAGGATTGAACGTGTGTGTATATGTACATAACAATGTAAAGTAGTCTTTAAATACTCCATTGTGCAGTGCCTTTAGACGTTCCACTTTCTATAAAGTCTTCAAAAAAAAGTTTGCATATATATATTATATATATATGATGTAATGTTATAGAAATATATGTATAATATACATATTTTTTCCAGGGGTATCTGATAGCTCTGTATTTTGTTATGGAAGTTGAAAGAAAAAAAAAAGTATTTTACCTCAAATTAAAACGTTAAATAAACCTTTTAAATAAGCATTTCTGCTGGTAGCTCAGTTCTTGGCAGGTTTCGCTCTGGGACTAGGGAGCTGGTGGTGCCGCTTTGACCCACATCTCTCCAAGCTTTTCCTAGAGCCCACGTCGCGTCCAGATCCCAGGTCGCATCCGGAACAAGATGCTCTTGGCTCCATTTTGGAGAGGAGCATCCCCAGTGACCTGCTGCTCTGCCCTGCAACCCCCTGTGCTCCCATCCCTGCCGCCGCCAGGGTTTTCCCAAAGGTAATTGCCGTCCTGTATGTCTCTGGTGATCCTGATTTCCCATGTCCCCATCCCCCGGGGGCGGATCTGCAATAGGATGGATGGACAGACAGAGCTTTGCCGACAGGTGCAGGTTTGGGAAGACTTGAAGTGCCGCTGAGCAGGATGGGAGGGATGCAGGGTTGGGCTTGTAAAGTTGTGTTTAAACTAAATTCAACTAAAACTGGCTTAAATTCCAGCCCTGAGACCAGTGCGGCTTTCCACCTTGGCCAGGCCTGCTGCCAATGGTGCCTTTTTTATAGGGCTTCTCCAGTGGAAAGGGGCCAGGATGGAGGGGCTAGGGACGTGCTGGCATGGGGGACCCCGCTCGGGCTGGGAAGGCAGCTCAGAGGTTTTTTTTATTTCCTTTTTCATTTTATTTCTGAGCACAGAAAGGGATCTGTGTCAGGAGGGGATTAGCGGAGGAGCTGGCTCTCAGCCTTGTGCTTACACTGTGGGGCTCTGCTCCATGGCCATCACCTTTCCAGGCCTTTATAATTATTATTATTAATTCTCTTGCAAATGGTGGTGGGATGTCTGGGGCAGTGACGCCAGGCACAGGGCAGCTTGACCCCCCACCATCCCCCCAGCACCCTCTTATTCATGCCATGCTTTTGGAGGGACAGAGCTGCCCAGCAAGAGCTTTCCACTCCCTTCCTTGGACAAACAATTAATCTAATAAGAAGTATATTTAATTAAACACCCATTAATTCCAAGGACACACACACTAGGGTCCTGACAACTGGCTAATCCTGATGGTGGATTTTTTTTTTTTTATTTATCAATTAGGTGTGAATTCAAGACCTTGGTTTTCCTGTTGCAGGAGCCTGGGCCAAGTGAGGTGGCTTCAGTGGGGCATTCCCAGGCCAATCCTGGGGGCGATTTGAGACATTTTCAGAAAAAAACAGGTCCTGTTTGGAAGTTAGCAAAATGGTCATTGCAAAAAAAAAAAAAAAAAAAATCCCATTGCACAACGAGGCAGCGAGTGTGGGAGCCGGAGGAGTTGTGTCCTCTCGCCCAGAGGATGCTGCTGGCCCCTGTGCAGGATCAAGCCCCTCCCAGGGAGCGAGCGGCCAGGAAAATAAGAGGAAAAACCACACTTTTGCAGATGCTTTTCCAGCTTCTTGATTAAAAGGGAAAACTGCAAATCCGCTTCCCATTTCATGAGGAAGATGAGCACCCTTCCAGCCCCGCTGAGGATTCCTCTGGAGCGGAACATTGTCTGCTTTCCAGGATAAAATAAGGGAGATTTGAGACCAAACTGGAAAACTAAAGCTTTATCTTTAGAAATTTCCAGCAAAAATCCAAGCGGGAATTTTCCAAAGTGGCCTCAGCAGCTCATCCTGGCAGCCGATGGCAAAGCTGATTAAGAGCCTGCCTGTGCTTCGGAGCTAGGGCTGTGCTCCCAGCCAGGTGCTCCCCCTCCTTCCCAAACACCGGCATGGCCAAGAGCCGAGTTCAAAGCCTCACGTTGGGGGAGCAATGTGGGGGCCAGGAAAGCTGTCCCCCACCAATGCTGTTCCTCCTTCCATTGCTTGCTTTTCACTCCCTGAGCTGGAGCCGCTTAGGCTTGCGGGATGGGGGTGATACTGCAGCCCCTCATGGTTCAGGGTTTTTTTGGGGGAGGGGGCAGCCTGTGATTCGGGACTCCTCGTCCTCATCCCAGCCCCAGGAGCAAGTGCTTGCGGGGGAGGATGGGAGGTGTGAAGCAGGACATGGGCTG